AAAAAATAAAAACCCCAGCGGTGATTAAATACCACCAAAAGAAAGCTCTAGTTGTGTGAAGAAAGTGATAAAATTTTAGTTTGGGTACAGTGTTGTATGACCGCGCAATTGTCATTCAAAGTGTGAGAGCGCTGAAACCTGAAAAATGGCCTGGGCAGGAAGGTGTAAAATTGCACGGTATTGAAACGGTTAAAGGTTTAGGAGTGCACCGGACACCCAGCATGTAGTACAATGGCAGCTAAGGTATCCAGTGCGTCCCCCTCACCAACAAACAGTACAAAAAATGCCACTGCCCTAGTCTATAACTGGCCTTCACAACAGTGACTCAACTAACTACTCATTACAGCTGAGGTATGTAAAATGCCATCTCTGAATGTATAACACGTCAACAAAAGCAGATGGGCTACAGCAGCAGAAGACTACACTGGCTGCCACTCCTGTCAGCTAAGAACAGGAAATGGAGGCTACAATTCGCACAGGCTCACCAAAATTGGACAATAGAAGACTGGAAAAATGTTGCCTGGTCTTATGAGTCTTGATTTCAGCTGTGACATTCAGATGGTAGAGTCAGAATTTAGCACATACAGCATGAAAGCATGGATCTATCCTGCCTTGTATCAACGGTCCAGGCTGATGGTGGGGGTGTAATGGTGTGGGGGATATGTTCTTGGCACACTTTTGGCCCCTTAGTACCAATTAAGCATCATACTCCAATGGCTTCCACAGTCACCAGATCTCAATCCAATAGAGCACCTTTGGGATGTGGTGGAATGGGAGATTTGCATCATGGATGTGCAACCAACAAATCTGCAGCAACTGGGTGATGCTATCATGTCAATATGGATCAAAATCTCTGAGGAATGTTTCCAACACCATGTTGAATCTATGCCAAGAAGAATTAGGGCAGTTCAGAAGGTAAAAGGGAGTGCAACCTGGTACTAGCAAGGTACCTAATAAAGTGTCCGGTGAGTGTATATTAGGTGAAATAATGAATTACGGCAGATTAAACCCTAGCTGGATGTTTTTCTTTGCTATAACATTATGTACCATTAGCAGTCGCCATTTTTTTCTCTTAAATACTTCACCTTTGTTTCCTACCTCAGTACTGCTAAACTCCTCCACCCTTTTTCAGTCACTGTGGTCTACTGGCAGGTTTTCTGTTACAAAGGTGGACCATGCCTGTGTAAACGTGCATTGGCTCTGCTACTTGTAGTCTTCTTCTAGGGAGCATGTGACAGGGTGACAACACAGGAACACAACTGGAAGACCGGGCTGAATGTTGTCACCCCATTACAGGAAGTGTCTGAACAAGGTGGGCTCATCAAGTATTATAATGAAAGCTGCAGCTATGAACTCTTATAATGACGTTTTCTAATTCCAGGTACATGTAAGAGCTCATATCAGTGTTCAGAAGGCATGACACAATGAACGATGTAGTTGTCTGTCTAGTAGACATTATTGGATGTCACTCCCTCCTCACTGGCCTACCCCTACACAGGCTATCCCCCCTTCAGTCTACTATGAATGCTGCTGCTAGACTTGTACACCTTACCAACCGATCTGTGACTGCTGCCCCTCTCTGCCAATCCCTTCACTGGCTTCCACTAACCCAACATATAAAGAACAAAATACTAACCACAACATACAAAGCCATTCACAACACTGCCCCCAGCTATATCACCAACCTCATCCACAGATATATTCCAAATCGCCCGTTCCACTCCTCCCAAGACCTCCTGCTCTCTAGCTCCCTTGTCACCTCCTCTGCTTGCCTGCAGGACTTCTCCAGACCCTCTCCCACCCTCTGGAACTCCCTAGTCCAATATGTCAGTTCAGCCCCCTCCTTGTCTTCCTTTAGACAATCTTTGAAAACTCACTCAGTATAGGTTCACACCTATGCATTATCTGTTGCGTTTTGCAGAAACGCAAGGCAGTCCATTTAACATGATTTCCTATGGGACACGTTTGCATCTCCGTGGGTTGACACTGATGCAATGTGACACACCATGTGTGATTCGCATAGGAACCGCACAGCATTCCTGTGCAAATCATATGCAATTTCGGTGTGGTGCAATTTGAACCATAAATTTTGTATGGCTAAAATCGCAATGCATCCCACCAGAAAAGTGCAGGACTCTTTTGTTTGTCCGTGCTACAATCGGATAACAGGAGTGTTCACACCCATGTGATCTGATTCTGCACATTGCGACGTATTTGCGAACTGCTTTTGGGGTGTCGTTAACCTAAAATAAATACCCGCAGCGGTTTGTATGAACAGGGTGCGATTATGTGATGTGGAAATTGCACAGAAACGTGGGAATTCCACACCACATCAGTGTGAACCTGGGCTCAGGGACTTTTTTAAATGCAAAACCTTGTGTTATTGGTTCAATAGACTTCAATGGAGATGCTGCAGAAATGCATGTAGTGTGTTTTTGATGCATGTTAATCTGCCCAGCAACAAGTTGGAAAACAAACGCAAAACGTATGTGTAAAAAAGCAAAAAGCAGTGCAGAAATGGATCAAACACAAACTGCATAGATGTGAATCAGGCCTTATTCGGGGAAGCCTACCCCACCTCCACCTCAAAACTGTACTTGAGTCACCTCCATCAGAACACCCCTGCAGCTTTCACCTTTTGTACCACCTCCACTTAGATCAGGGGCTCCAAACCTTCTAAACATAGGGCCAGTTTACTGTTCATTAGACTTTCGGGGGGCCGGACTGTGGACATTGGGAGTAGAAATTGTCCCGACATCAGTGGGAGTAAACAACGCATCTTTGGTATTAGGGGGAGGAATAGCGCTCCTTCATTGGTGTAAGTGGGATGAATAGTGTACTATTGGTGTCAGTGGGGGGAAATAGTGCCCCATCGTTGGTGTCAGTGGGGGGAGGAATAGTGCCCCATCGTTGGTGTCGGTAGGAGGAATAGTGCCCCATCATTGAGGTCAGTGGGAGGAATAGTGTCCTATTGTTGGTGTCAGTGGGGGGAAATAGTGCCCCATTGTTGGTGTCAGTTTGAGGAATAGTGTCCTATTGTTGGTGTCATTTAGGGGAAATAGTGCCCCATCATTGGTGTCAGTGGGAGGAATAGCGCCCCATCGTTGGTATCAGTGTGAGGAATAGCGCCACATCATTGCTATCAGTGTGAGGAATAGTGCCCCATCATTGGTGTCAGTGGAGGAATAGTGCCCCATCATTGGTATCGTTGGAATAGCGCCACATCGTTGCTGTCAGTGGGAGGAATAGTGCCCCATCATTGGTGTCAGTGGGAGGAATAGCGCCCCATCGTTGGTATCAGTGTGAGGAATAGTGCCCCATCGTTGCTATCAGTGGGAGGAATATCAGTGGGAGGAATAGCGCCCCATCGTTGGTATCAGTGTGAGGAATAGTGCCCCATCGTTGCTATCAGTCAGTGGGAGGAATATCAGTGGGAGGAATAGTGCCCCATCGTTGGTGTCAGTGGGAGGAATAGCGCCCCATCGTTGGTATCAGTGGAAGGAATAGTACCCCAATTGTTGGTGTCAGTGGGAAGAATAGCGCCCCATCGTTGGTATCAGTGGAAGGAATAGTACCCCAATTGTTGGTGTCAGTGGGAGGAATAGCGCCCCATCGTTGGTATCAGTGGGAGGAATATCAGTGGGAGGAATAGTGCCCCATCGTTGGTGTCAGTGGGAGGAATATCAGTGGGAGGAATAGTGCCCCATCGTTGGTGTCAGTGGGAAGAATAGCGCCCCATCGTTGGTATCAGTGGAAGGAATAGTACCCCAATTGTTGGTGTCAGTGGGAAGAATAGCGCCCCATCGTTGGTATCAGTGGGAGGAATATCAGTTGGGTCAGGAATGAAGTGCCCCATCGTTGGTGTCAGCGGGAGGAATAGCGCCCCGTCGTTGGTGTCAGTGGGAGCGCCCCATCGTTGGTGTCAGTGGGAGGAATATCAGTGGGAGGAATAGTGCCCCATCGTTGGTGTCAGTGGGAGAATAGCGCCCCATCGTTGGTATCAGTGGAAGGAATAGTACCCCAATTGTTTGTTGAATAGCGCCCCATCGTTGGTATCAGTGGGAAGAATAGCGCCCCATCGTTGGTATCAGTGAATATCAGTGGGTCAGTGGGAAGAATAGCGCCCCATCGTATCAGTGGAAGGAATAGTACCCCAATTGTTGGTGTCAGTGGGAAGAATAGCGCCCATCGTTGGTATCAGTGGGAGGAATATCAGTGGGAGGAATAGTGCCCCATCGTTGGTGTCAGTGGGAAGAATAGCGCCCCATCGTTGGTATCAGTGGAATGTCAGTGGCAGGAATAGCGCCCCATCGTTGGTGTCAGTGGCAGGAATAGCGCCCCATCGTTGGTGTCAGTGAGGAGTAGCGCCCCATTGTTGGTGGGAGACAAGAATAACGTATCAGTGAGAGAAAAAGTGCCCTGAGGGCCAGATAAAGGCAAGCAAAGGGCCACATCAGGCCCCCAGTTTGGATACCACTGCTGTAGATTGTAAACTCCACGAGCAGGGCCCTCGGATTCCTTCTGTATTGGAATTGTACAGCACCGTATAACCTGTTGGCACTATGTAACTCCTGTTTTCAACTAATAATAATTACATGTGGCTGGCATTAGTCACAGTCCAGGAGTCAATACATGCCTGGTTTTCAGCGACCCCTGTTGGTATGATATGATCATTTATAAACAAAGCCGACCCTCAATACTTTAGCCGCCCTCAGAGACCCAGCTATGAGGAGGCAGAGATCGACAACCAATGAGATGACAGCAAACATCATCTAGTCTGCAGGTACAGGCGCGCAGGAAAGAGGAGAGGCGGAACACAAACCAACATGACAGCACTCCTCATCCAATCAAATTCGGGGACGTCATAAACTAGCCGCGGATGCACGGAGGCAGGGTAAGCCGACCACTGAGATGGCAGTAATCCCTATCCAATCAGCGGGAAGCGTGGGCTGGCCCCAGAAGCAGGAAGTAGCGGTGGTAGAGGTCAGTGAGGGAGAAGGATGAGTGCTGTGAGGGGAGCTACGTGTCGGTGGGTCCGGGTTGTAATAAACCAGCATTTGGCTGCACGGCCCTGGCAGTGTGAGTTCAAGCTGTGGGCGCACACCACACGACAGTCTTCTTTTATTGTGCTGCTCTCCGGGTGTATTCTGTCTGTATCCGTGTATTAGATCCCACGTGCCTGGAAGGAGAAGGGGTGACGTTATACTGAAGCCTGTGTAGGGTGTCTGCTCCTCCTACACGCTGCACTGTATCATTGTTGTGGATGGGAGCTGGGGGCTGGCTGCACTGTATCATCAGCGTTGTGGATGGGGGCTGGCTGCACTGTATCATCAGTGTTGTGGATGGGGGCTGGCTGCACTGTATCATCAGTGTTGTGGATGGGGGCTGGCTGCACTGTATCATCAGCGTTGTGGATGGGGGCTGGCTGCACTGTATCATCAGCGTTGTGGATGGGGGCTGGCTGCACTGTATCATCAGCGTTGTGGATGGGGGCTGGCTGCACTGTATCATCAGTGTTGTGGATGGGGGCTGGCTGCACTGTATCATCAGCGTTGTGGATGGGGGCTGGCTGCACTGTATCATCAGCGTTGTGGATGGGGGCTGGCTGCACTGTATCATCAGCGTTGTGGATGGGGGCTGGCTGCACTGTATCATCAGCGTTGTGGATGGGGGCTGGCTGCACTGTATCATCAGCGTTGTGGATGGGGGCTGGCTGCACTGTATCATCAGCGTTGTGGATGGGGGCTGGCTGCACTGTATCATCAGCGTTGTGGATGGGGGCTGGCTGCACTGTATCATCAGTGTTGTGGATGGGGGCTGATTATCAGTGTAGATGTCTCCTTTCATAATTGCTGGTTATCAGCTGTACTTTCCTCACACTGTGACAGCATGAGGAAATTGCTGCCGATCACTGGCAAGTGTTTACATCATGACCAGCTGTGATTGGACACAGCTGATCACGTGGCCCGTTGTGATTGGCCCTTTACTGTGAAATGTGATTAGCTGTGTCTAAAGGACACAGCAGTCAGAGAGAGAGCACAGCAGCAGGCTTGTCAGATGACACCCTCCCAGAGCTGGGCGACCACACTGTAGCCATCATTCAGCTATAGCACAGTCAGCAAGTGGTTAAGTTATAAACATGTAGCTAGTGTTATTAGCAATGTGTTTAACCACTAGCCTACAGGGCACTTATACCCCCTTCCTGCCCAGGCCAATTTCCAGCTTTCAGCGCTGTCCACACTTTGAATGAAAATTGTGCAGTCATGCAACATTGTACCCATATGAAATTTTTATCATTTTTTTTTTGTGACGAGTTTATTTTGTGGTATTTATTCATCTCTGGATTTTTTCTTAAATAAACCAAAAACCATTGAAAATTTTGTAAATAAAAAAAAGTTCTTAGTTTTTGTTATAAAATTTTGTAACTAAGTGATTTTTCTCCTTCACTGATATGCACTAAATGAGGCTGCAGTGATGGGCAGTGATAGGCTGCACTGATAGGGACACTGGTAGGTGGCACTGATACATGGCACTGATAGGCAGCACTGACTGGCACTGATGGGTGACACTGAAAGGCAGCTCAGATGGGCACTGATATGTGGCATTGATGGGGCACTGACACGAGGCACTGATGAGCATGGACACTGACATGTGGCGTCTGCTGGGGCTACACTGATCATCAGGGCACACTGATCATCAGTGCCCTGATGATCAGTGTACATGTTCCCCTCCGCGGAAAGCTGATTACCAACTCTCTCTCGAGCGGTCAGTGTGACCGCTCGAGAGGAGAGAAATGCCAATAAGCGGCATTTCCCGGTTTACATGTGATCAGCAGTGATTGGACACAGCTGATCACATTGACCAAGCCGACATCTTTGGCTGTTTCCGTGATCGGTGATCCGCTGTGTCCGAGGGACACAGCGCACCGCCCGATCGCTGCACGCTCCCTGAGCCGCGCATGCGCGGGTGAGAATGGGGGAGGACGTTCATATGACGTCCTCCCAGAATGAGAGAACCACCTTGTGCCCGTCCTATTACTATATGGCGGGCGGGACTTCGTTAATAGGTAAGAAAAGGCAAAGACATATTTCTCTGTTTACAGGAAGGTGGCGTTAATATAACCCAGCACAGAGTTCCCCCTGCAGTGCAAGGGGGAGGAACACTGTGGACTGTAATGTAAATCTGTGGAGCTCAGTTGCATAGAGCTGGCATTTCTACAGGGTGATTGAAAAGTAACTCCTTATTTTAAAAATCTTCTAATTTATTTTTTTAATCATTTTTACAAAAAATCTAAGATAAGAACACACATAACATGGAGTTTTATTTAAAATTCTTCTTGAGCACAGTTTGTACACAGTGAAAAGAGGCCACTTTCCTTTGCTGCTTGTCGAATGCATTTTCTTGAATTGTTCTCACTACCATCCTGGTCACTGGCATTGGAAGGGTGACCGCTTCTTTGAGCATCCATTGCAGAAACCTGTCGCCATGAGTTTTGCATGACAGTTCTTGATGGTCTTTGTATCGATCTAAGTATGTTTTCCTTTGATGGTCCTCCGCCATCTTTGCACTTGAACAACTGATTTCCAAACTTCGTAGTGTGCCACTAACTGGGCACGCTCTTGTACATTTAAACATCTGGACATCTTTATGGGGCTTCGAATTTTAAAACGAAAAAATAATCAATCTGAAAAGAAAAGACAATACAGATTTAATTGTCATAGATTAAGAAACATACATTAAAAAAATGAGAAAAAAATAACTTCATATAAAAAAATGTATTAATATAGAATACAGTTGTGACCAAAATTATTCAACCCCCAATGCTGTAAAGGGGTTTTTAGGGACTATAGTGTACATTTTGGAATTGTATTTCAGAATCAAATCCTACAAGGACGTTGTAACTACCCAAAATGCAACTAAAATGACATCAATTGTATTATGTAATACAGTAGTAAATGGTTCTTATGTGGTTTCTTCATTGCCACAATTATTCAACCCCTAAAGACTACCACTCTGAAGAACAGAGGTTCATTACAGGTGCTTTCCATCAGGTATTGAAAACACCTGTGGATGTCACCGAGCAGCAATCAAGCATAATAAGCACCAATTAGGCAGCTTTAAAATGACTGTGATACTCAGCTCCTTCTAGACATTTAACTGGTGTGGTTACAAACATGTGAAGGCAAGAGAATGGTCCAGGAAGACAAGAGAAGAGGTGATTTCTCTTCACAGGAAGGGCAATGGCTATAAGAAGATTGCAAAAAGATTGTAAAACATACCAAGAGACACCTTAGGAAGCATCATTCGCAAATTACCAATGGCAAAGGGCACTGTTGAAACGCTACCTTGGTCTGTGGCAGAAAGAAGATGCTGACTTCGACTGCTGTGCGCTACCTGAAGCGTAGAGTTGAGAGAAGTCCCCGTGTGACTGCTGAGGAACTGAGAAAAGATTTGTCAGATGTGTGGGTAACAGAAGTTTCCCAGCCCAGACAATAAGACGCACACTGCGTAATGAAGGCCTCCGTGCCAGAACTCCCCAGGCGTACCCCCTTGCTGTCTCCAAAGAATAAGAAGAGTCCGACTGCAGTATGCCAAAAAGCCATGTGGACAAACCACAAAAGTTTGTGGATATAGTGTCTGTGGACTGATGAAACAAAAATTAGAACTGTTTATGGGCCCATGGATCAACGCTATGTTTGGAGGAGGAAGAACAAGGCCATATGATGAAAAGAACACCTTGCCTACTGTGAAGCATGGTGGAGGGTCAATCATGCTTTGGGGCTGTTTTGCTACTTGCAGGTACAGGGAAGCTTCAGCGTGGCAAGGTACCTATTGAAATCTTCTCTCAGTACCAGGAGATATTGGATGGAAACGTGAATGCAGTCCGTTTCACTCACCTGAGGCTTGGGAGACGTTGGACCTTTCAACAGGACAATGATCCCAAGCATACCTCACAAGTCCACTAGAGCATGGTTGCAGGAGGAAAAGGCTGGAACATTTTGGAGTGGCCATCGCAGTCACACCAGACTTAAATAATCCCAAATCCGATTGAGAACCTCTGGTTGGGACTTAAAGAAAAGCAAGTTGCAGTGCGCAAGCCTAAGAATGTGACTGAACTGGAGAGCCTTTGCCCATGAAGAATGGGGCGATATATACCCGTAGATCGCTGCAAGACACTTGTGTCAAGCTATGCTTCACGTTTAAAAGCTGTTATAACTGTAAAAGGATGCTGTACTAAGTACTAAGATTGAATGTCACTTGGGGGTTGAATAAAACTGATAATGCTGTGAGCACAGAAAAGACATTTGTGGTTATTTCATTATAACTGTTATGTTATATTTGTCTGACCTACAAGTGCCTCTTTAATGTAAATGTATGCAAGATGACTGAATGATCAAAAGCAATGTCAAACTGGCCAAAACACTCAATTTCAGTGGGGGTTGAATAATTTTGGTCACAACTGTAGTTTAAAATAGGTAGTTACTTTTCAATCTTACCGCAGCATAGCCTGTAAGGAAATTCCTGGCTTCTTTCCCTAGAAGCTGCTGGGCACTTCCAGATTTAAAGTTGGCAGCTGTGAAGGAGCCGTCTTTATGATTCAATTAGGGGTGTTTTACAAAAGCAGTGGGCTTTTATGTGCAAGATCATAATTTGGACCCTAACACCCCGGTCACATCAAAGCCAAATTTCAAATCGTGAGAACTTACAGTGAAAGTCACGATTTCAAAGACGGGTGACTTACAGATTTTCAGGTGCGATTTGTAAGACATTGTCACAGATGTGTATGCAAATCACACCAAAAGTAGTACATGTACTACTTTTTTAGAAATCGGTTCGGTGCAGCTCCGACCAAGTCAGAAACTGTACCGATTGTGACCGCTCTAATAGCGGACAATAGGGTGCAACTTGGCATACGATTTGCAAATTGCATGCCATGTATTGCACCTGATGTGATCGGGATGTAATGCCACAGAGAAGTGCTGCCTATGCATCAGCACACCATGGCAAGGATTGGGTGTGGTCATCGGGGCTGTAGCTAGCACCTGCTAGGTTACATAGTACAGTAAAGATGAGGTATA